TAAAAGCCAAGTTAAAAAATTGTAATGTAATAAACCTTTCCTAATCTTTATAGTAAAGATGAAAGTACTGAAAAATGAGTAAGAAATTTGGAAATAATACTTGACCTCAAAGCAAGAGCTCAATACATGTGTTGATTTAAATTAATAAATGGATGAGTAGGCAATTCACAAAATATAAATGGTCAATAACCATGTGAAAAGTAGGTAATCACATGAATAATTTCAAGAATGAATATCAAAACAAAATACAAAAACAAAATAGCAATTTTGCCCATCAAATTGTCCAAGATTTAAAACAATTGATAATGCCTGTGTTGGTTAAGGGTATAAGAAAATGAATAATTATATATTCCTAGGAGTAAAAACTCATACCTTCCTAAAGGAATATTTGGCATTTAGAGATCAAGCACTTTAATATATGAGGCAGAATTTACAGGTCTGAAACTCCAGTTAATAGAAGTTTCCCCAGTCTTATATAATAATAAAAAACAACTCCTTTCAGTTTTTTTTTTCTGGAAAATTCCTTTCCAATAGTAAGTGTGAAAGGTCCAGAGAGCAATGACAGGAAATGCTTATGGCACATGCTTTCCCTCTTTGATTGATACAGTATAATTCCCTACTCCAAGTCGATTGCATTCAGAATCTCCATTTTAATACTGGAAGATGCAATGACCTTTTCTTTCTGTGCTCTTCTCCCTTCTTTTCCCCTCCTCCTCTTCTCTTCCTCTTTCAACTACATTGTTGGTGGAACAGGACATCGCTGTTTGCAATTATCTGCAGCCTCCCTCCACCAAGGTTGTACATCCCCACTCTGTTAAACTCAGGACAGGCTACGTGGTTTGCTTTAGTCAACAAAATGAGGGACGTGAAGTATATCACATCTGAGCAGAATCTTCAGGAGCTGGCTGAGGGTTTACCATGCATCTTTCCTTTTCTATGAGACCAGCTGTGTTCCTAGAAGAAGCTTCTTGGTCAGGTGTGAAGATAATGTGGTGTAGAGTCATAGCTGACTTGGATGGGTATGTAGTATGAGTGAAAAATACATCTTTCTTGTGTAGAACTTCAAAAGGCAGAGAGATTTTGTTACTATAGCAAATCTCAGCCAATCCCGATAGGATTACTAGGGAGCCTGAAATAGAATATAAGCTCTGCCAACTACCAGCTGAGTTCAGATCTGGGTCTGCTCTTACTATGAAACATTGGCCCTAGTTTCTATAAAATGAGATGGCTAATGGGATCTAGCTCTTAGGGTCATTATGAGGACTGAAAATGAGTTCTTATTTACAAAGGACTTAGAAGAGTGCCTAGCAAATATTAAATACAGTATTAGTGTTTGTTAAATAAATCTCTCTCTGTGTGTGCCTGTGTGTGCATAGAACAAAGTCTAGGAAGATATAAAACAAAGTATTAATAGTTATTTAAATTTTTTTTCCTTTTTATTTAGCCACATCTTCTAGTTTTTCTTCAACAGACATGTATTTTTGGCGTGTAAAAAAAACATCTATTGAAATGCCCAACTACTTTGCATTGAGAACCTGTTTTTTAAAAATTGTAACTTAAAAAAGTATTGCTCTCTTATTGATTTACTTATATCACTTCCCCAGGAATGTACCTCTGATTTTATTATGAAAGCATATAGAAAAACAGGTATATGTGGAAGTTCTATTAATGGCAATTTTCTTGAACCATGGAGTGGATAACACCTGTAGCCAACATCTTGAGAATGAGTAAATGTTTAATTACTGTTATTCACATAGTACATCACGTGTGTGCTCTGAAAATATTTTGATTTCTAATATGACTGAAATGTCTCCCTAAATAAGATAAAATTGTTTAGTCATTAATAATTATACCTATCTCTGAGCCAGGCTTGCAAATTAATGAAAGATGATCTCTGGCTTCTAATCTTACAACTGTGGGGGAGAGAGATCCCTGAGGAGCAGCTTTGCTTTTGATGGACAAGTAGAGGAGGTGAAACCTGGGCACTTGCTGGGATTGTTGTCATTGTAACAACCTTCCTGCTGCCAGCATCCAACCTCTTTTATTTGCCCTAGCTGAGAAGGAGCCTTGGAAAGGATTTACAAAGAAAAATCTAGTATCCTGGGGGCAATGATTAACACCCATTATCTATGACTAGCCACAGCCATCACAGCTGGAGGATTCCATGGGGAAAACAGTGGAGTCACTTCCTTTTGTATTCTGGATACTTATCATAGGGGCTATTGTGGTGGGGTGCTTTGAGTCCAGGGGTGGATGGAGAATACTCCTCTGATGGTGCACACTCTATAACATGTACCTAACTCCAGGGAAGTTAGGAAAGGCTTTCCTCAGGCAGTCAGGTCTAAGAGCAGAAGGATGAATGACCTTAACTTTAAGTGAATGGGAGAGTAAAAGGAGGCTATTCTGGGTAGTGGGAACAACATGTAAAAAACTCAAGGTAACAGCAGCAAACCTATCAAATAATAGATAAAACAAAATATCTATATTGGAAATCAGAAAATACTACTGAGAGTAATTAAAGAAGACCTAAATATGTAGAAAGATATATTATATTTATTGATTATAAGACTCAATATTGCTAATATGTTCATTTCCCTAAGTTGATCTAAAGATTCCAGACAATACCAAATATCCCAGCAGGCTATTTTTTTAAAAATTGATAAGCTAATTAAAAAATTTATATGGAAATACAATGGATTTAGAACCGTTAAAACAATCTGGAAAGTGAGAAATAAAATTGAAAGATCACCTAATTTTAAGACTTACTATAAAGCTACAGTAATCAAACAAATTAATGGAACAGACTAGAGACCTCATAGACTCATACACATATATCAGTTAGTTTTCAACTGAGGTGCCAAGTCAATTCAATGGGAAGAGAAAAGGTTTTTAAATAAATGATGCCAAAACAAACATATATTTTTCAAAAGCTACCTATCTTATGTGAATATTGATTTGAGATGGATCACAGACCTAAAATATAAAAAGCTAAAACCATAAAGTTTCTATAGGAAAACATAAGAAAAATCTTCACAACGTCAGGGAGGGGAAAGATTTATTATAGAGGACACAGAAAATATTAGCCAGCAAAAACAGATAAATTAGGCTTCCTGAAAATTAAAGCATTCATTATGAAAATGAGTAGGTAAGCCACAGACTAGGAAAAATATTCTCAATACATATATCTGACAAAGAACTCTTAACCAAAATATATAAAGAACTCTCATAAACCAACAATAAAAAAAACTACAAACAACCTAATTTTAAAAATGAGTAAAAGACTTGAACATTGACTTTACAAATGATGCTGAGTATCACCAGTCATCTGAGAAATGAAAATGAAAATCCCAGTGAGGTACCATTTCACGTCTACCAGAATGGTTAAAATAAAAAAGACTGACAATATCAAATGTTGTGAGGGTAGCATGGAGAACTAGAACTTTTATACATTGCTGGTGGGCTATAAAATGGTACAACCACTTTGGAAAAACTGTTTGGCAATTGACATTCATTTATTCGATGACCCAGCAATTCTACTGCTAGGTATTTATCTAAGAGAAATGAAAATATATGTCCAAGAAAGACTTGTACAAGAATATTTATAGGCCTTATTTGTAATATCCTTAAAGTTGAAATAATCCAAATAAATACCAATTGGAGAGTGAATAAATATATTTTGATAAATTTATATAGTAGAATGTTACTTAAGAATAAGAATAAACTATTGATACGTATAACAATGTGGATATTTCTCAAAAAATACTATCTCGGGCAAAAGAAGCAAGAGACAAAAGACTATATACTAAATGACTTCATTTATATGAAGGACAAAAATAGGCAGAAAAAATGGAGGGTGGTAGAAATCAGAGACTTCTGCCTTTGGGGTAGGTGAAGTTGAACAGAAAGGGACATAAGAGAACTTTCTGTGCTGGTAGAAATATTCTATATCTTATTTCTGGTGGCAGTTGTATGGATATATATATATATTCAAAACTTTTCAAACTTAACACTTAAAAACACTTAAAATTTATTATCTGTAGATTATACCTCTATTTAAAAAAGAAAGCCCAGGATAAAAGAGCATGGTATATCTATAGGTAAAAATGACTAAAAAACTCAGGGCTGATGATTAATTCTTTTCTTAAATTTTCTTCAGAAAACAAGAATTCAAGCCCCCCTCCCCTGAATAAATTATTCCTGCATTTTAAGTCATGATGATGGAAGAGTTGTTTATATTAAAGTCCTTTTTCCTCATGACATGCGTCATATATGGGTTGAAAACATCAAAATCAATGAAATAAGTCTCATCTTAAATGATATAACCTAGGGCACATAGAAGTTAAATAATTAGCAGCACGTGGGAAAGGCATGTCATCTGTGTTTAAAAAGTCTGGCTGCTGGGCTGAGGAGAAGTGTGAGAAGGGAGAAATATTCAAATATTCCAAACTCTGTACTTCTCCTAACTCCAATCTACATTCAATAATTTTTACCAAAGTAATGTAACTAAAAAATATGATTGGTATCTGGAAAATAAATCCAGTGACCATACATTATATTATGACAAAAAACTAATTCATCAATTTTTCTTTTACATGATTTATTCCATAGGCAAGGCATCATGTCTCTTGCAACTCATCTTTGTATCCTTAGAAGATTCTAGGCCAGGGTCTTGAAAATAATGGATCCTCAATAATTATTTATAAACTGGAATTAATTAATCAATGTATATACTGATTAGTTGGAATTTATGTCCAAATTACATATCCCCACAATGGGGAATTTTCTACAATTATTTTATGTCTTCATATAAAATGTCTGAACCAGTGATGATCTCATTTGGTAATTTATGGGAAACATAATTAAAAGAAGTATATGAAATGAAATACAAGTCCAACTCATCCCTGCTTAAAAATTTAACCATATAGGGGTTGCCTGACTAGATATTTTTAAAAAATTATAGAAAAAGCACAATTGTTAAAAATATAACCAACCCACCAACCAACCCCACTGAGTCTAGTTTTGGTCTCCATATGAATATCTAAATGATCATATAGGCTGCAATGATTACTAAGGCTTCAATTCACTGTTTGGAATTGAACATCAAATTGGCAAGAGCAGAAAAGCTGTGAACTGAGAAGGAAATTGTTATTCCAGTGATGGACGCTCCACTGGTGAGAATTATTCTGTTGGCAGCTGAGACTTCGGGGAATTCTCACTATGAAAACCAGCGGTCCTTTAATCATACATTATAAGAGTATTTGTGATGCTTTGCAGGCAGCCTTTGTTCCCGCGATTTTCCTGCTGCTTTCCTTCCTGAGCACAATAAGTTCAAGATGGCTAATGCTGTTGTCTGGTTATGCCAAGAACTTCCTAAATGCCACTGGGCTTTCATCATGAAGATGGATGGCAAAACCATCAAAAGTGAATATCTCCTTCTAAATGGGGACTCCCACGATCATATTATTTTTGGGAGAGCAGCTCTCCGGCTCCATGGATATTACTTGAACGCAGTAACCACGTTCTTCTGCAGCCCTTGCTCGATCCAGATCCACTAGGCACATGCACTGTTTTCCTGAAATACAGTAAAACCGTACCGTGAGACACCCTGCAAGGAACAGTGCAATTTCCAGTTGTCTAAGGGACTCTACACGGTGACAAAATCTACAAGTATATGGAGCATGTTGTTTGCCCCCAAGTCCTGTTTCGTCTGTCTACCTATTTCTTGATCAGCATGGACAAAAGACAATCACATACAACATTTCACAGATTTGCTTCTGCTGACAATTTAAGAATGTTAACTTTAAAAAAATGTATTTACAAGTAGATCTCAAATACAGACTACAGATCCTATTTCCCAGTTGGTTAAAAATACATTTAAAGACCTTGTGCCTGCATTCTCTAATAAATGTATTACCTGTCATATTGTGAAAAAAATAACATCTATCTTTCATAATATTTAAAGTATCATGCTAACAAAGAGACATCTGAAAGACGTGCTACATTTGAACCCGGAATTTTTGGGACAAGGAAAAATGAGAAATGGAAGATATTTGAGAGAATTCTTAATTGTGCTTTGGTTATTTCAGGTGGATGTGTACACTGAGTGTAATATAATCAATTTTCAGAACTCCTGCATGCCTATAAAATAGTGATACTCAATTTTCCTTGTAATCTTTGGAAAACAAAAGAGAAGACCTGACTGGCAAGCAAAGCAGCTAATTTGTGTTCCTTTGGCAAATACAGATTTCTATGTTAAAGGTAGCTCTAGAAATAAAAATGATTTGGGGTTGAGTATATTCAAAGCTATGGTTCATTTTTATACGTTCAGTTTCTTTAAATTCAGTATACAAACTTCATTCTCCAAAAGGCTACTGACTATGCAGAACTTCATTCCATCTTCCCTAATTAGAATAATGACTAAACAGTATTTTTCAGTAATTTATTTGAATGCCCACAGAAGCTGCTAAAATTGAACAGCCATAGAAGTGAAGGCAGATAACTGAAACAGAGTTCTGTGGAAGGCAGAAGAACACTCACAGAAAGACTGTGAAAGGTGAAATCGGTAGGTAAGAATTGGCAATGAGACATTCAGATTTAAAATGTTTACTTTATACTTTTTCCTTAAAAGTCTCTATGCCCAAAAGAATGAACTGTGTTAGAAAAGATATAAAAAGAGATGTCTCGAATTCCACTTAGGTGAGATCACCGCCCCCCACCCAACCAGCCCCTCCCCGTTCACCTACAGTTGTGCAGCTGACCTTCTTTTTCTCCCTTAAAGTACTGTTCATCTTTTAAGACAACTGTAAAGGCTCCCCCCACCCCAACCCCCTCCTCAGTTTAAAATGAAACATTCTCTGTCAAAATAGACGCCCTGCATTCCTTCAGTACCCACCCTGGGTTTACATTGAAGCTCATTTACCCTTGGCTTCGATCCCAGTCCAATTAATTTCTCCTTTTCTATTACGTAAAAGAATCTCATGTTTTCACATGTTGAAGAAGTATCTTTACAGCTGAAACTCAGTTGTTAGTAAGTCTACTACCTTCTGGGCCCTCGGAAGCTTCCTAAAATGTTCACAGGAAAAAAGTATGACCCATGCAAAGTACAGACATTGACGTTTGATGGGGTCTATGACTTGGAACATGACCTTCCCTCCCCTCATGGCAGTGATCATGCCAAATGTTCCCTCTCCTCTTCAACTCCAGCAACTTCCCTTCTAGCACTCCCTGAACATTCAAATGTGCAGACAACTAGCTCAGAGTGTTGGGAATGGGGAAGGGAGGAGGAAGAGAAAAAGAGCGGGAAAGAGAGAAAGGTTGCATTTAAGAGAGAGAGAGGAAGAGCTTCATATGTTATACTCTGGAGTGTGAGAAAGAGGAGGAAATCACTTCTTTGTTTAGCCTCAGGTCTCAGATGTGACTCTGTGTGTATCTTGCTATGCTGGCTTTGACTTTAGGGTTTGAAGATAACTACTTCTCATACAACACAGTCCCTGGATTCAAGCTAATTAACACATCTGGTGCTCACCCAAAGAAACGGCAATCTGTTTTCCGATATACTCTGGTGGCCTCCAATGTGGGGCTTTTCTAAATAATTTTTAAGATTATTTTTGACTCCACTCAATCTTCACAAGCCCTAATTTTGGAACCTAGCCTTCATATGGGTTCATAGCATGGCTCCATCATCTACCAGGTAAAAGATCCTGGAGAAGCTTTTGTCCCACTCCTAAATAATATTTTCATCAGAATTTACTGAGATAATGGTAAGGGCATTTAGCTCAGCACTTAAATGTGCACTAACTTTTAGCTGCTATTGTCCTTCGAAATGTTATTTCTTTTTCTGAAGCAAAGTCTTGGATAAATGCATTACTTAGACTTAAAATGCTACTGCAGGTCTTCCAATTAAGGTAATATTTACTATTACAGATGTTGAATAAATTGGTCTATGATTAATTATATACAAGTATGCTTTTTTCCAAGAAAAAAATGCTTATACATATTTTAACAAATTAATGTTGGCATGCAAAGTTGATTTTTCCATCTTTATATTTTCTTCTGTGGCTTTTGACAGATCCCTCGGTTTGTTCATAACAGTGAGAAAGAGATTTCACATAATTCTGCTCAACGTACAAATACTGAAGATGAATGTAAAAGTATTAACGTTAACAAAAATGGGATAAAATACTCTTATACCTACAAAGCCCTTTTCAACATGGATTGCCTTTTCTGGGAAAAACAGACTCGAGTGTCTTGTTGATAAATGGACCAGTTTTCCCCATATGCAGCCAGTCCATTCACTCCTAGGCATAGTGTATGTAATCTACTCACCAGCTGCTCCGTGAAAACACATACCTATGAGTCTTCGTTGGGGCGGAAGCTGCACAGCTGTCTGATCCGCAAATCTGCACAGAATCATGTGTTCCTAAAAGAAAAAGCAATAGAACGTGGGTCTATTTTAATCTTCTGTTTCAAAACTGTAAAAATTATTAAAACTACCTCACTTTTCTGGAGTTCTACAGTTTAACTGAATAAAGTACTGCACAAGTAATAGGTCTGAAAGAACCGCATTTTCAGGAAGTGGTACTCAGTAACTTTTCCCCCTTTCAAGGTGAATGTTCTCCTGACCCAGTTCTTAAGAATGGATGCCAGGAAAAGCCTCTGGCCAGCCAGTTTCTTTGAGCAAAAATAAGGTTACAGTGTGTGATTGTCACGTGTTAAATGAAAAGACCAAAAAGTCACTTCTATTTTTCCTTTAATAAAATTTGAATCTCAGGAACGTGGTTCCAAGAAGACAGTCGAAGTGGCTTTTCTTCCTCCTGCCAGGGGAAAAGGAAGTACTGGGGAAGATTATCACTACATGTGGGTTCTGTAGTTGTGGTTCTCTGGGATACCCAGCAGAGTGCTGGCTGCTCGGACACTTTTCTGGCCTCTTCCCTTGTCCCTCTAGCGGAGAGGAAGCTGGCTCACTCACTCTCCTCTCACTCGAAAGAGCTGGAGGAGCATCTACTTCTACTTTAAGGGCAACCATAAGAATAACCTGAGCGAGTGGGAGGAAAATTATTGTTCAGCTTGACCATTTTAGGAAAGACTGCTTTCATGCAAAAAGAACAAGCCTTCATAGGGGCAGAGAGCTGATGAGTCCACACAGGGCTCTGAAATCTGTGAGCAGCCAAAGGTGAGTGCTCGGGCAGAGTGGGGATACTGCAGAACTCCCATGACAGCTGTTCACTCGGAACAGATGCAGGGTCCCTGTGTGTAAATGATCTCACCTGGCAGCTTAGCCAAAGGCTTGAACTCTGATTGCCCATTTGTCCCCTTTAGTCTTTTGTACATTCACTTTGAGGCTTCCATTTTTTAAAATATGTGTGATCTTGGTTCTTTTTTGAAGGGTTACTTCTGTCTCAACTTTTATGCATTAAAACAACAATATTGTAATGCTCACTATAAAATTTAGTGGCCAATGGATAGGACACTAATAAAATGGTTCAAATGGGGACGCCTGGGTGGCTCAGTTGGTTAAGCAGCTGCCTTCGGCTCAGGTCATGATCCCAGCGTCCTGGGATCGAGTCCCACATCGGGCTCCTTGCTCGTCAGGGAGCCTGCTTCTCCCTCTGCCTCTGCCTGCCATTCTGTCTGCCTGTGCTCGCTCTCTCTCCCTCTCTCTCTCTGACAAATAAATAAATAAAATCTTTAAAAAAAAAAATAAATAAAATGGTTCAAATGAGTAACTTGTATTAAGCAGCCATGAACTGGCATCAACAAAAGGGCAAAGGAAGGATTTAGAATTATAGAATTTGAAGAAAAGGCCAGAAAAAGCATGCCCTTTGTCTTCATCGTGTGTGAAAGTCAAGATCTCTTAACGTTGAGGCAATCACCTTTGGTGTCTTCACCATATTTTACTGGAATTATTTGCAGATGTGTTCTCCCCACTAGAAGTTAAATTCTGGAAAGGGAAGGCGCAGAGCAACAAGTCAGTTCAAGGTTTTCTGGCTAAACTGAACTGTGGAGAAAAACACTTCCAACGTAACTCTCAAGATATTTGGGCACTGCCTCCGTTTAGTTCTGCCTGGCAGCCCACCTATCATGGTTCAGTTAAGAAATATCTTGCCACAGTATCCAGGAAGTTCAGACCTCTCTCTGGTGCCTTAATACCTATGACCCTCAAAAGGGTTGATGGCCAAGCAGCTTTTGGGGGTGTGGGAGAAGGTGTAGACAAAGGTGAACTAGGTACCAGTGAGTTTTCTGCTCTCTGGAAGAGCCTGGGTGCCCTGTTGCTACTCTTTAGAAATGTTATACTCTTTAGAAATGTTATATTTCTTTTCTAGCCCGTGAGACTGTGGCACCTGACCTCTTCAGTGACCTAGGTTTTTACCATGCATCCTCTCAGTTTGTTTTTAGCTAGCATCACTCAAAGAGGCATTAAAAACAGGGGCCCAGTTTTTGTTTATTTTCCAACTCATTGTCTACTTTATTGGCAGGGTCTTATAAAAGAAAGGTAAGGTGTTTTGAATCTTAGAAGATAAAGTTCCCTGGCTCCTGATGTTTTCCAAAAATCCTTAGAGTTCCCTAAGACATACAAACTTTAAAATCCAGTAGGCAAAGACCAGGAAGGTCTGGTTCTGGATGAGCATCAGCACTCTTCCTCTGTCGGTTTCTGTGTATGTTCAGAGCAGGGGGAGGAGTAAGGAGAGGGGAAGGGAGGGTGGGAGACAGAGTTGGAGGTACCTGTTTAAGGGTTATAAAGTAGAGGTGAAGAAGATATATGTGCTAAGGTGGTAGAAATGAACATTTTTAGGTCACTGTCCCCCACTACTTAACTGTTGGATGGAGAAAGGAAAAATCTTGAAAGGTGGGGCTGGCATGTAAAATGAGACTATATATTTTTAGTGTGTCTGTGCAAGAAGTGAACTAAGAATCTGATTTGTCAAGTTTTAATGGAATTATTCATATATTTCTGGCAAATATCATTACCATTTTCTAGACTGCATTATGTCATGTTATTGACGAATTAGTTGGTGATATTCGGAAAGCTGGAAACTAGTTTGCTCAGATTGATGCCTCAAAACTATGTAATGTTCTGACTACTGCTGAGAAACAGTTCTTGTGTTTCTTCATGCCTTATGAGTAGAGGCTGCTTTTGTACCAGACCAGGGTTTGGCAAACTCCAGCCTATAAGCCAAATCCAGTCTACGACCTCTTTCTCTATGACTCTGAAGTTAAAAACAGTCTTTACATTTTTAAAGGATTGTACACCACCACCACCAAAAGCAACAAGAATGGCAAGGACAAAGTAGAATAGTGGGGAGGTTTTTAAGTGCCTGACAAAACCTAAAATGTTTACTGTCTGACCTTTTACAGACAAGTGGGCCTGTGTTCTAGAGTATCTTCTCAAAGATGTTTATATAGTGAGGAACTTTGGAAAATACATACTGTCTCGCTCTGGAGCAAAGGGCAGGAATGCTTGCTTAAAGATTAAATCTTAAGACATCTGGGTTTCCTAAGCTCAGTTTCCCTCTCCTGTAATGCAATTCACTGTGCATGTAGCTGTCGTGTGGCCCTTTTTGTGCTGCCCTGTGGGAACTGGGTCTCAGGAAGTCAGGACAAAAATGAAGATAGCCGGGGTGCTCCTGCCAGGTGTCTGACTCAGAAGTCTCCCATCTGCCGGCATCCATGAAATGGTGGGAGGCTAGCATGTGAGCTTACAGGCTAAACTCTCAGACCCTTCACAAATCTTGCCACCTACTTGGACTTGAATCTCGATTTACAAAACAAAACAAAACATAAAAAAACCCACTCCCAATATTACATGTTGATGAGTAATTCCAAGATAACTGTAGATTATATATCCCATTAGAAATTTGGGAGGGGAAAAATACAAAGAAGGAATAAAAAGTATATCAGAAATATGTCTAGAATTTTTTAAGTTTACCTTATATGATAAAGTTTTCTTGAATTGTTCACTGAAATAGAAAAGAAAAAAAGTTATTTTAAACACCAAAGATTAGGAATCCAGATAACAAAGATTAGGAGCAGAAATACTCTATTTCTATGATATTATAGAAATACAGAAGCAACTATAAACAAAAGTAGGTATTTTATCTGAGGAGTATATAACGTTATCTTAAACTAAAAGCTATGCCAGTTTTAAATGTCTCTGTAAAAAGTAAAAAACATACTCTCAATATGCTATTAATTTTGAAAAATTTTTCAAAGATTGTTTACACTATTAGAGATGCACAACCATTTTTTTTCCTCTTCCCCACATGGGTGCACACAGATCCAGGGGTTTTAAAATGTAGGTTTTACTACTATTTAGGTATGGTGAGGCTAACGGATCAGGAGATGTTTGCCATTGAAAAGATAGTTTTTTTCCCAACAATTCCCAAAGGAGAGGGCATGCCATGCCACACAGGGCCACATGGGGAAGCACCAGGGCTGTAGGAGACAGAGGGAGTGGGATACAATGTGGGCAAGAGCCTTTATTAGGGATTCCATAGGAAGAGATGGTAAGGCAGGATGAGCAAGTTTAGGACTGGGTAGTTTGGATAATGTCAGTGGTTTTGGGGATAGGGGCTGTCCCTAGTTGTCTGGCACCTGACACTGGGGTGCTAAAGGCAGAGGGATAATGGCCTGGGAGTGTCTTCCAATGAAAAAAGGAGAAAATGGCAATAAACCTACAGAGATATGAAAAAGTTGACAGACACTAAAGTAAGATTTTAAAATCAACTAAATGAAGCGACAGGCTAAAGAACTCAAATTAACATTCTTAAAAATCTTTATAGTGCTAGACTTACAGATTTCTTCCTGGGTTGTAAAAAATACATTTTATCTGTATAGATTCAGAGCAGAGTGAAATTTCAGCTATTGAATAAACCTTAAGTTATACTTATTTGCTTTTCCAAAGCTCCTTTGGTTTTCTCTCAACTAGTTGCAAATTGTGGTAAAGAACAAAACAATGAAAATAAAAACAAAAAAAATCAAAGACAAAGAAAAAGAAGGCTATTATTTGTACTTTATTACTTTACTCAGAAACCTTTAAATATAAATTCTGATGGAAATTTTCTAAGATTTCTTAAAAGTAATCATGCAAATGGCCAGAAGTCTTTTTAATGATACATAATACAATTTTAAAACTAAAATATTTAATCTATTCTATAATTAAAATGATCAGCATGATTCTCAATAACTGTGGTTCAGAGAGATGTCATAAACACCATGACACTATCCCTCCAATAGGTTAGGTCAAAGGGGTGAGAAGTAAAATGTTTCCCTCTTGGAGGTGGGATAAGAAGGACTGTAGAAATGGCTATCCGACTTGCAGATTCAGCAGCACTCATGGGCAGTATTTAAAAATACTGTACCTGGCAGCAGCTCACATTTTATTGAATGCTTACTCTATGCTGCTTCTAGGTGCTTTATATATACATCATTCAATTCTCACAAAGACCTTGAGTTGGTTCCTATTATAACCTTCATTTTGTAGATGAGAAAATGTAGGCAAAAAGAGCTGAAGTTAATTGCCTGAGGTGACACGACTTAAAAAAGTCAGAGGAGGTCCTAAGCGCTTAACCATAGCACCCACTGACTCTCATAGGTGATGAGAAATGCCGAACCTTTCAGATTTCTAGTCAGCTCACTCTCAGACAGACTTGCTTCTAAAGTTGAGGAGCTGGATGCAGGAGAAAACTCAAGGAGCAGCCGGAGAGGAGAGCTTCCCTTCCTTATATAACTCCTAAATAGTACCTGCCTTTGTGGAAAGAGGAAGTGAGTTCAAACTGAAATCTCACTGCAACTTTGTTACCAAAGGAGTTTCCTGCTTTAGTTCTGTTCCCCACATTGGTGCCTTAGGGCGAACATGACATTTCACCTTTTGGGAAAATGAAACTTTGAGGTGTTCTGAATGAAACCGTAACAGCAAGGGCAGGTGACAAAGGAAGCCCGCGTTTTGATGCAGTGCTCAATCACCATGTCTGTGGCCACTCCGCAAGCATGCAGTGCCACCTGGAAAACAAAACCGGACGTCAGCACTGAGTTCCTGCCTCACCAGCACTGCTGCTTCTGTGTCTTTTCTTTCTTTCTTTCTTTCTTTCTTTTTTTCTTTCTTTCTTTCTTTCTTTCTTTCTTTCTTTCTTTCTTTCTTTCTTTCTTTCTTTCTTTCTTTCTTTCTTAACTCTTTGTGAGGATGTGAGGACTGATTCCCTGGAGGTTTCAAGTTACCAGAACATTATTCCATAATAGTTTAGATAGTTCCTATCTGGACATACCAAAGGGCTAGTCAGCTATTCATATTAATTAAGAAAGCTAAACAAGGCTGAAAGATTACAAATGGAACACTGCAAAGGAAGCATAAGATTCATTCAATGGAAAATCTGACATGATGTTAAATATGGAAAATTCAATATGTATGCATGTCTAAACTGGTGCTCTTGGTGATTATTAATTTAGTTCAGTTGTAGCATTGTGGCAAGAACACAAGATTGAAATCTGAATGTCTAGTTTCAAACTGTAGTAGCCTGAGATCCTGGGCCATGTAAAATTTAACTTCCTTGGGCCTCAGTCTGCTCAACTACAAACTATGGTTAACACTACTGACATATAACAATGATGTTGCAAAAATAAAATAAAAACATATTCGAACACATTCTTTCAAATACTATATGAATATAATCTAAACAACGTTCTAGGAAAACTGATCAAATCATATTTATGGATCCCCTTTTCACATTCATATAACAGGTCTTAACATTGGTGAATTACATAAACTACCCTCAATGGGTTTATTTAAAAAGGAAGGAATAAAATTATGAATTGGAATCTGACTAGGGCTTCAATAATTCATAAAAAAAATCCCTAAAAATGATCTTAAGGTATGTTTTCAAAACAAATTCCTTAAATATACCTATATTGTGTCACAATCTAAAGTAGACAATTATGAAAACTATTAGGCTGAATAAGGCAAAACAGGACCCTATGAAAAAAAATCTGATATGGGGATCTTAAAAAAATATAGTATTTTGACAGAAATATGCTCAGATCTCTGACAACTTCAAGGTAGAGAGGGTCTTTCAGAGTGAAGAGGAGATTTTCTGGAAATTTCTGAATGTGAGTATCATAAGCTAGATTCCCTTCTTAAACTGGAAAACCAAAAGCAATGCTGTATTGGGAAGAGGAAAGCATGATTTCTGCTCTCAATCCTTCTTCTGAATTTCCCCTCCTTTTAGGTTTACGTTGATTTAGAAGTCAACAGTCCCTGTGGTTGTTGTCAATCCTCTTTCACTCTGAAAATTGAGCCTGGGAAGATTGCCATTCGGTGGAGGCAGCCACTACTGGGTAACTGCAAGTAAAGAACTTTGATTTCTCATCTGTCCCTTTTATTTAATCAGCTTTGCAGGGCAAAAATCAGGCTAGTTCTTATTTTCATGAGTAGCTAAAGAAAACCTCACCATTAAAGTTGTAGATGCATATTCCCCTGGAGGGGAAGAAAAGAGAACCAACACTCCCTGAATGCCCTTTACGTGGGGACACTATGTTGGGTGAAGGCATGCAGATCTTTCTATGCCTACAAGGGCCCTGAAAGATTTTTATCTCTGTTTTAGAAGTAAGGAAACTAAGGCTCAGAGAAATTAAGAACATGCCCACAACAAAGCAGATTCTGAGCGGCAGGATCCTGACCCCAGAGCCTGAACCCCTGCATTAATTACATCAGGCTGCTTCCCTGCAAAACCCTTTTAAGGCTCTTAAAAGTTTGGACAATTTACTTTTATAAATATCTCTTCACTTAGGTTCACATTCCCTTTGCTACATGCAAAATAATGAGTTTATTTCCCTCATTTAAACAAAACAACTAAATCTAAAAACTGTTTACCCAATGGATTTTAGTCCTAAAAGGTTTTATTGCTTCATATGCTCCTAATTTCCATTGTTACCAAATGCAGATCACAAAGAACAGGCAAATAACGAAGAGAGATACAGATCAATAGAACAATCTGAATATGAACATTGAGCATAAAACAAAGGTGGCACTTCAAACCACTGGGAAAAAGATGTACTTTTAATTCATTTTTTTTAAGATTTTATTTTTAAGTAATCTCTATACCCAACATGGGGCTCGAACTTACAACCCTGAGATCAAAAGTTGCATGTTCTACCAACTAAGTCAGCTAGGTGCCCCGAAGATGGGCTTTTTAATAAGTGATGTTGAATTAACTTTACAGCCATATGAAAAATAAAATGAGATCTTTTCCTCTCACCATACATAGTATATTAGTATATTTCAAATGGATTAGAGATTTTAAAGCACAAAACAACAACAACAACCATGAATGAATTCCTCTATAACCTAGGGGAGTGGAAATACTTAACTATGTCTGAAATTCTATATACAATAAAGAGTAAGGTTAATAAATTTGACAAAAATGAAAAAAATTAGATGGCAAAGAAACAAAAACCATACATAAAAAGACAAATGACAAAGTGAGAAAAAAATTGGCAACTTAAAGCATTAACAAAAAGTTAATATACCTAATACATATCAAGTTTCTGAAAATAAAGAGAAGTATATAATCTGATAGTAAAATGGACAAAAGTTTTGGAAAATCCAGAAACAAAAATATGTGAATATTGTCTTAAACCAAAGTTGTTGAATATTGTTCAAAATAAGAGAACTATTACATTAAGATACTACTTATCACCTATTAAACTGGCAAAATTCTAAAATTTGATGACAATCTATGGGCCAGGGTATGGGGTAACAGATAATGTCATACATTGCTGGTGGGAATATAAAAATATCACTACCCCATGAAGGAGGAATTTAGCAATATCCAGCAAAATTACATGAGTAATTTGCGAACTCACTTCTAAAAATCTGTTCAAGGGAGACACTGGCCAAAACATAAAAAGATTTATTCATTGAAGCAATATTTGAAATAACAACAAGATGGAAACAAGCCAATTTTCCATTGAAAGAGGACTTGCGGCTTGCTCTGAAGCTCTAAAAAGGAATGAGGAACATTTCTCTACAGGGCCATGGTAGAGATTATTAAGTGAAAAATAATGTTAAAACAGTTCTCAAACTATTTTCAGTAACCATCACTGGTGTCTGTATTTTTGTTTTAAGACTCAAATGTGTATATTGTGAGATAAAGCAAATAAGAAATACGCTGGTGCCATTAGGAAACAGAGCTTTTTTTTTTTTTTTTTAAAGCATAGGAGAAAGAAGAAAGAGATATGAGATAGCTAAGTGAGGCTAAGTTAAAATCCCATAGTTCTCGGGGCACCTGGGTGGCTCAATGGGTTAAAGCCTCTGCCTTCTGCTCAGGTCATGATCCCGGGGTTCGCATTGGGCTCTGTGCTCAGCAGGGAGCCTGCTTCCCTTCCTCTCTCTGCCTACTTATGATCTCTGTCAAATAAATAAATAAAAAATCTTAAAAAAAAAAAAATCCCACAGTCCTGAATTTAAATTGGAAGTGTATTTACCCATGATGATTTAAAAAAAAAAAAAAATTTGCCTTGCTCAGACCACAGTAAATCCTGGAAGACCAAACCAGTGGCAACGACTATCCCCAGTACCTAAGTTGTGGTAATTGAAATAGCATTTTCATTTAAAAACAAATTAGAGCTGCATGAAGGAATAGCCGCTGCCAGGGAGGAGGCAGGAAATGCGTAAGATGAGCTGGAACATCATGTTATATGGAAAGCACGGAGATATGAAATACTACTAAAGTCCTATCAATAGGACTCAGGAGCTAACCTCAAGAGACTCCCACTGAACAAACATCTGAGCATCAGCAAGAATAAGAAGTGCAATACAGTAATAGTAAGCATTTCAAACATTAAACTGATGAGTCCATAATTGTACTGGGGAAAAAAAAAAACTGGTCACTTTCAGTACATAACCAACTCACTTTAAAATCCAGAAAATACAGGGGAAGAATCAAATTTTATTCGGTCTTTCCTAATGTACTGACTGTACCTCTGCATAACGGAACAGTTAATAAAGGAGTAAACAAAGATGGAATGATAAGATAAGAAGAATATCACCCTTGTGCAATCCTTGCTGAAGTAATGGAGCTAAGGTCAATGACCACAAATGCTGCTAAGGTTGCACAAGAGACAGCCAGATGGAAGTGCCTACTGATAGAACACACCACCACCTATGATACAGTCTTACCCCAAAGTAAACCTGATTATGTTTCTACAATCTAGATCTAGGCACCCACTTCTAAGCAATCTCGGGAACAGGGTAATATGTGATACAACACCAGGGGGATCTGACCAGCAAAATCCAAATTTAGGGAAATTCTACAGGAGAAACGACATGGTCATGTAAACAAACTTTAAGGAAAGAAAAGAGACTGGGATGGTATAGGAGGAGGAACGCATCTATGTGCCCATACCTGAAACCTGTCAACATGGCAAAAGGATTTTTTTTCAGATGTAATTAAAGATTAAGAATGTGAAAATACCAAGATTATTCTGGATTTACATGGGTGGGCTCAATCGAATCACATGAAGCCTTCAAAATAGAGAACTTTCTCAGACCGGAAGCAAGAGAAACAAGACCCAAGGAAAAGTCAGAGATTTGAGGCAAGAAAATGACTTGAACCACCATTGTTGGCTTTCATGGGTAGCTCTAGAAGTGGAGAATGAATCCTGGCTGAGCCAGCAAAGGAGCTGAAACCTTAATCCTACAATGTATGGAACTAAATTCTCCCAACAACCTGAATCATCAGGGAAGTGGATCTCCCTCAGAGCCACACCAAAGCAGCAGCTGACTTGGACCTAATGACACCTGGAGCAGAGAAACTAGCTGAGCCCATCTGGATTTCTCATCTATAGAACTGTGAGATAACAAATTGGTGTTATTTTTTTTTTTAAGATTTTATTTATTTATTTGAGAGAGAGACAGTGAGAGAGAGCATGAGCGAGGAGAAGGTCAGAGGGAGAAGCAGACTCCCCATGGAGCTGGGAGCCCGATGTGGGACTCGATCCCGGGATCC